TTTCGAGCTCGGGGTTTCTTTCGTGGATGCGGAGAAGGGTTCGACGTCGCCGCGGTATAGGCCCGGAGGACGGGTTAGACGAAAGCGCGACGCTTGTCGTGTGGATGCCGCTCGTCTACCTATACGTCGGGCGCGTGCCTGGTGGGGGAGAGACGGTGTGGGTGACGACTGGGCAAACAACTTCTGCCGACTCGAAATTTTGTCGCCTCGTATGAAAAGGCCGCACTTTTTTTTTTAGGGGAAATACTCGGTGTCCCGCCGAGTCTGGAGGATGGGAAAACCGTTTTTTAACGTTGCTCGTGTGTTTGGGGCTCGGGCAATGGGGACCTGAACCCTCGATGAATTCGAGTGTGTCGATGCACGGAGAGGAGTATCTTGCTGTCTTTTTGATTCGTGTCGTTTTCGGTGCATATGTTTCCGCGCTCCGAGGGCATATGCGCGATCTCTTTCGCGATGTGTCCCCCCCTCCCTCTAACGTTCATACATTTTTAGTTTTTCTGCGACCTCTCACGGCGCGTTTCGAGGTAATTGTACTTGTCGGTCAACACTGATTTGGCCTCCTATCGCAAACATTTGAATGCCATTAAATATGTTGCTTTTTTTTTAATGCCGAGAGGGTCAACATATCAGCCTGATCAGAGTGATTTTGTGAAAAAAGAAGCCCGTCTCTCTCTTTTTTCCTTCTCTCTCTCTCTCTCTTTCTCTCGTTACGAAAAGCCGTCGCTAAGAGTCACTCAGCAATTCAAAGAAACGGAACATAGATTGTGTCACAATGTAATGGCAATTTTTCATTCATTGACTAGAATCACTCGAGAATGCTGGTTTATGAATTATACTCGAGAACGTATACTGCACTCTTAGAAAAAAGGGTCAGTATAGTCCTCCCTAAAGGGAGGAACGCTCTTGACACATATGTTCCTTCAGAAAGGGAGAAACTTTCGTCCCTTAAGCAGGGGAGGAAAAGTTCCTCCGTCGACTGCATCTCATTATGGCGGCCACGAATCGAGCAAATCGAGCTCGGTAAGGCTTAACGAGAACACTAAGTCTATTGCACGAAGCGAGAGGAGCAGGAAATAAAAACGTAACACGAGCTTTCCGCGAACTGTATTTATTTCCGAAGTTTCTTTACCCCTGCAGGTAAAGAAACTTACGTTTCGAAAGCATGCAGTCACTCAGTCTTCTCATCGTCAGCACTGCGATGTTCAACGGAGACAACCGGCACTCAGTTCGGGCAACTTTATGTCCTACCTTTGCTATTCCTCGAGCCACAATTCCTTCGTCAACCGTAGCGTCAACCGCAGATCACGGAGGAGTGAAAATCATTCGCCCGCAAAACCAAAAGCCGCTCTCAAAAAAAAGCAAATCCGAAGCAACCTCCTGGCTTATCTCAGCACGGTAACACGAAATTATGGCGTAGCCGCGTAGCGTAAAAGGATGTTAAATCGCTTGCCACCAGATGGCAGGGTCAAGCAGAGTAATCGCACGTAGCTAGGCTAGGTGGCGCTAGGTACCGCCCAATTCATGTTTTACAAAAAAATATTTTTGTTTTCTTACGCCACAATTGCGTTTCCTTTTCTTCGGAATCTCTAACACATGTCGACACGTTGCGCACACTACAAACATCAGGTCAACATATATTGAACGCATACACAGGCATCGCACATACAAACATCAATACAAGAGCACACTACCCCGATCACTACTAGCGAGCCCTGCGTTTCCGTCTTTTATAGTGGTCGTTTTGAACGTGCGGAATTTTTCGGTGACTCCCTAAGCAAAAAAAAAATATTCCGAACATGTTCATTTTTTTCCAGCAATGTCATACATCTGAGGCTATTCTTAATGGCTCAGGGGATGAATCTCTTATTAAAAAGAAGACGCTCAATCATGCCATAATTATTTGAAAGCCAATAAATCGAGCCGCTCCAATGTGGTTCCAAGCCATGAGTTTGTTTTCCCGCATGGCCCTTCGTAGCCAGTATTTATATTGTAGTGTTCGTTTTTCTATTTGTGCTGTTCGCGCAAAGCTGCAATTGCCGTCTTGAATTAATCTCTGTAGAGCGGATATCCACTCAGCTGGAAGTGATGCTTCACGGGCACAGAAATCGCTTTTCGATCAACTTGAATGCAGTCAAAGCCAGAGGTCGGCATTTTAGGTCGCCCTCACTCACCCTCACCCTCACAGCCCCACTCACCTAAGCCCCTCACTCACCCTCACCCTCACAGCTACACTCACCTTCAGCCCCTCACTCACCCTCACCCCCACAGTCACACTCACCTTCAGCCCTTCACTCACCCTCGCTGAACCTCACGGCCCTCACGCCCTCACCGCCCTCACGGCCCTCACGGCCCTCACGCCCCTCACTCACTCATGGCCCTCACGCCACTCACCGCCCTCACGCCACTCACCGCCCTCACGGCCCTCACCGCCCTCACGGCCCTCACGGCCCTCACCGCCCTCACCGCCCTCACGGCCCTCACGCACTCATAGCCCTCACCGCCCTCACGGCCCTCACCGCCCTCACGGCCCTCACGCCACTCACCGCCTCCACGCCACTCACCGCCCTCACGCCACTCAGGCCAGCTTCAGATGGGGCGATTTCGCCCATTAACTTTACGTCGCAACACCAGCAACACGGGCCGCCCGCGATCGCACGCAGCAACCAATTGCTGCAATTTACCATCGTCATCATAAAATGTTATTTTTCTTGCACTATTTAGACGCAATTACGCGTTATAAACGTGTTTTTATGCATTTAAATCTCGTTAAGAATACTAATGCACCTTTCTGAAACAGTTTACTTCCAAAAAAAAAACGATCAATTTCACGCCAGAACCAAGTCTTTCGGTGTCATCATCACCGGCACGTGGTATCACGTGAAACTTTTGCGTCCCTGATTGGATGCAGCCGCTTCAAACGCATTCGAATTGCTCCGAGTTGCTTGCTTACTTCGAGCCGGACCCGATCTCAGCAATTCGTGTTGATCTAGGGAAAGCTAGAGAACAACCCGCCATTACCACCAAAATTGCTGAGAAAGATGCTCGATCTGAAGGGGGCTCACGCACTCACCGCCCTCACGCACTCATGGCCCTCACACCACCTCATGTACTCACCGCCCTCACGGCCCTTACGCCTCTCATGCCACTCACTGCCCTCACGCACTCATGGCCCTCACACCCCTCACGCACTCACCGCCCTCACACCACTCAAGCACTCATGGCCCTCACGCCACTCACCGCCCTCACGCCCCTCACGCACTCATGGCCCTCATACCCCTCACCGCCCTCACTGCCCTCATGGCCCTCATGGCCCTCACGGCCCTCACGGCCCTCACCGCCCTCACGGCCCTCACCGCCCTCACAGCCCTCACGGCCCTCACCGCCCTCACAGCCCTCACGGCCCTCACTCACCCTCACCTCACCTGTGAAGATGAGGGTGAGTGAGGGTGAGTGAGGGCCCTCATGAGTGAGGTCTGCCGAGGTATGGTCAAAGCCGCGACTTCCGACAACTGTTAAGTGTACGGAGCTGCGCCGTTGCGAGCTCGAAAACTTCTAGCGCTCATCCCAGCGCGCCACTTAGAGGGCAGTTTCTACAGGAACCGTAATATATTTAAACAGTAAAATAAAGGATAGCGTTTTTTTTTTCGATTTTGCCTGTCTTTTTTTTTATGCTAAACTTCCATTATAAATATACGTACTTTCCGTCATACTTTCGTAGTGTTGTCTTTTCCCCAGAGCGCAATCGCTCTCGGGGACCGACAGTCACATTGGCCACTGTACGATAGGAGCTTACCGTTCAGACCAGCGTTCCAACATGACTATCCACACGTCGATCGACTGCACCTAATCCCTCAAGTGGTTTTAAACTCTTTAATGTAAAGCGGAATGTCATCCTGCGACACCCCGGCCCCTCCGATAACGGCCCGACCAGCGGCATCAATGCCCGACAGTTTACGTCATCTCATCTTGTTGTTACACCACTGATACGCGAACACACGGTCACATCGGCGATAATTCCAGTCTTCTGTTCACAACCCACCCACAACACTGCCATCAAGATGTCGCTGACACGAAGAAATACAGAACCACGTTGACGATGTTGCTGACACGCAGAAGAATCACGTTGAACGCCGGTTGGCACTCGGCGCGGAAGGCACCCAGGCAGCCGGCAGGAAAACCTGCCTTCCTTGGACGCAGTTCCCGCGATTTCCATAACGTCGAAAACGTCGACACAGTTCCTCGTGGTTTCGCTGCTGTAGTTCCGCCGTTCCGCGTGTGTCCCGCAAATTGGAGACGGCCGTCTTACCCAGTGTATGTAGCACTGCTGGCACTGTTCCGGAACTTCGCTGTTTCTAGCGGCTTCGTTAGCTCGTTTGATAAAATTAGTGGTAAAAACGTCAATGCAACCGAAATGTTCTGCACGTTTGCACTAGAAGACGGAATTACAGGCGGCCTTCGCTGCCGCTGAAGCTCAATCAACTCAACATTAATTTATTAAACAACGTGCGCGATGTGCTCGAAAAACGAAACCGAAAGAAGATGGGTCGGGAGGGCGAAAGCTTTCTCCGGTCTGCCTGGAGGAGGAAAACGTCTCGGAGAATAATAAGGACTTTAATTTTCCTTTCATCGGTCTGGGTTTGTTTATGTGTGTTTTGGTAAACAAAAATAAAAAAAAACTTTACAAAAAAAAACACAAAAACAAAAAAAAAAAACCACTTTCCTGGGGATCGAACCGTTGACCACTTGGTCAGTAGCGCGATGTTCTACCCCTGCGCCAACTGAACAAGGAGGAACTCGCCCTCCTCCTTTCATCTGAACTGCCGTTCCTCCCTTCTCTGGGCAACTTGTCCGCAACAAGGAGGAACAGTCGCTTTTGCTACCTTTCTCCTCCCTTTTTTCTTAGAGTGTGGTCCTCACTTCAACATTGTGATTGCATCAGACCGTACTTTGCATCGTTGATGCACGTTAATAACAGCCTTCAATTGCATTTGCACGCTCACCTCGAGTTCCGCCTCGGCCTGCCTCTCATGACGCGCCCGGAAGGCTCTCTGCTTTTCTTCGAAGTCTCGCAACCTCTGGTTGTAGCACTCGATTTGGTCTCGAAGCACGGCGTCTTCAAGCTGGAACAAAATTCAGGCCTGTTGAGTGGCGGAGACAACCCTAATAGTACACCTAGATTAGATCAGCGTTGAAAACAAGAGAGACATGTCAATGTCCCCGTATACCCAAAGCACTCCTCCACAACTTTGTTTTTGCTTAAATAAATAAACAGGTGCCAAAGAATGTAGCTGTTGGCGCCCAAATGCACCAACAGCCACATTTAGCCAAACTGTGACGAATTCGCGCCAACATTGCGCCAAACATAGGTTGACTTTATTGATACTGAAAATATAATACTTGAGGCCCCACTACACGTCCGGATCGTTGCGGTTGGCTTGTCCGTATTTTGAGAACTTTCGATTATAACACTGAATGACGTACTACTTGATTTGATCTCTGTATATAGCAGTGACAGCACTTGGAAGTCGCGCAATATTTGTCATATTTCGTGGTCTGTTCTCATGGGTTAGGTAGCTTCGTTGAGTGCGCCTCTCACCACGCACTGGTGCACTGCAGTGATGCGAGAACCGCGGAGTAGGCATCGCGATTTCGCGTATCTTGTTTCGTTGCAGCGCAGCCGCGTACTAAGGGGAAAACACTCCTCCAGAGCAGGCCGTTGCACACACCATCAAATCAAAGAATCTAAAAAAAAAAAAGAAAAGATTTTTGGTAAGTGTTGTTGTAACAACTCTACCCTGCAGTAAAAAGTTCAGCACAAAGCTGCGGCTAATATATATGATAGATGGAGGGATGAATAGATGAATGATAGATGAAGGATGAAGGGTAGATATAAAAATGAATACAATATTCTGATGATTTGTTTCTCCAATTTTTCAAACTCGAGCTTTTAGCAAGGATACTACGGCTCTGTAAGCATATATTTTTATGTTAATTCTTATGTTTAGCTATCACCTTTACATAGGTTCCATCTGTGTGATGGCACAGGGAACTGAGTAAATTAAAACTAAATTAGCTTGAGCAAGACGATTGAAACTTGGGAATAACTTTATTGAGTTCGACTGGATTGTTTTAAGGCTATTTATTGTTCACATGCCAATTTGTGTTATCATGAAGTTCCAGATATAAAATTTCATTGATGTTAATAATCAAAAGAGGACAGCTTTATTTTTATTTCAATTAAGAAACGCAATTTTATTACAACCTTTAGAACTTCAGTGATACATCAATTTGGGTGCTCAATAATATTCTGTTCTGAAATTATTTTGCCGGAATATAATTTAGTTTACCTCCGACTCCATGCCCAAAGTAACCATTCAGAGCAGTTCATACAGTCCTTCATCACTCAGCGTCTTTTTTGTCGTGCTCCTACATACCACAGTCAGTTAGTTCCGTATTCGAGGCGTTGTGAATCAAACCTGCCGTGCAATTGATGGTAACAAAAGTTGCACAGAACTGGGAAGGCAAAGTAGATAATGTGTTTTGATGAATAGGCCAACAGATGTATCTTAACATATATAATATTCGCAGTGGTATAGGAATAAAAGTGTGGTGTACGCCCACGCTACTAAAGTCTCTTTTTCTACTACCGAATGAACTTTTAGCCGCCCCAAACGGTGCTCCAAAATTACTCGGACCAATCACATGACTGCATTCACGAACAACAGTGAACCTACACATAGATCAGATCGCAGAGGAGAAACCTGGATATTTCACATACCGCAATGACCCGATTCGCACATCAGGAATCCGCGGAACACATCATCGACTTTAGAGGAGTTTCCGCAGAAAGGTGGAACCGGATCAAACCTGGCCCCGGATCGCGCGCCTCGGGCCTTTCGGCGCGTCGTCTCGTTTCTCACGCCTCGGCTCACGGGCCCGGCGACGTCCCATAAAGAACGCGGCTGGGAGGTTCTCCAATTAACCGCGTCGCGAAGGGCTCCTTCGCGGACCAGGGCGGCCTGCCCAGCGGCCGTGTGTGTGTGTACGGGTAGATGTCGGGCCGCCCGGAGTCGCGCCATGGGAAAAAGGGCGTCTTCGGCCTCTCCGGGCCCGGCCGGTGCGACGTATATGAGTCCACCGCGTCGCGGCAACCTGTAATTAAGACGTGCCACTTGCGCAAGGGTTCGGCCGCAAAAGCATCACGTCAGCACTGCCACCCTCCCTTTCCCTGCCCCCGTTCCTTTCCCTGCGGCCGGCCGTCGTGGGTTTCTCTCGGCGCGCTGGGGGTTGCCCCGGGGCTGCATGTTTCGCCGACCGTCATTAGAAAGGAGCAGCTGGACACGTGCGCTTCGTCGTCGTCCGAGTTTCCAACGTCGTGGGGAGAGTGCCTCCGCGGCGGCATACGAATCGGGAGCCGTCGCAGCGCGCCTCGCTAATACGCGGGCGGGGAGTATTCACGTCGGCGTACACCATCCCATGCACTTGGGGAACCTGTTGGGGTGGTTGGGCGGCGCGCATTCCAGTAAGTGGTGGTGCGCTGGAGTCCGACTTCAACGTCACGTCCACGCGCGTATTCGAGACTCTTTTACGGTCAGTTCTTTGGACCTTTTCTGCGCGTGGTCTCTCCTCTTCCCTCGCATTCCCGGCAGCTAGAGACTTTTCGATAGATCGTGTTTCACACGGAGTCCACAAGCGTGAATCTTCGTTGGGCAGCCGACAAGTATGTATGGCACGACAGGGGTCAATCTGGGTCGATTACTTCTGGTTAGCTTGGGTTGTTCTTGGAGCTATTGGAGCTCCCTACACTCGCGCGGTGCACTATCTGATCTTGCGCAGTTGTCGACTCCCACTGCTCGAAACGATACCTTCTACCCAAGGGGTTGTACGCTTTCATGTACACCACCCACAATCCAGGAACCCACTCCCTTCCAGCCTTCCAGCCGACCCCGCCCTCCAAATATTGCGTCCTAAGCGGGCGGCATAATAGAGTGCGTACCACGAAGGCACCGAGCCGAAGACTGTGCTCCACGCAAGTTGCGCACCGCTTCATTTTTTTTTTTTTTCCTTTAGTTTTTACCAGAGAAGCCTTCGTTTCTCGTGAGCGTTTCGTTGCTTTTTGTTGTTGTTTGCTAGAGTCTAGTTTCGTCCGGAGACCGGCCGTGCTGGCGGCCTATATAGGCGCGAGCTTTGACCAAGGCGGGCAAGGCCGCGGAATGCGATCCGTCGAAGGCGTTTCGCGTTCCCGTCGGGCTCCCTTCGGAGTTCGGCACCGAGCGCTGGCCGAGCCGCGGGGCGGCTCCGCCGACGGCCGTTCCGCCCAGCGTCGGTCTGCCGAAGGATTAGTCGATTAGTTATATCGCTCAGGGTAACAATTAGCGGGTATCGCCCCGAGCGGTGCAGTCCATCGTCGCTCGAGCGGTGTCTCGAGCGATGTCCCAGGGCGGCCACCGGAGAAAGCCGGCCCGGCGTATACGCTCTTGGACGTTGCGGGAACTTTAGGGGGGGCTTCTGCTACACGGCGGCAGGCAGGCTGTTATTTTGGTCCCGCTTTTAGGCCGTCCGCTAATTAATGAATGGGGTGTGAGGAATCGGTTCTAAGCTCCCCCCGAAATTATTGGGGCTCGCAACCGCTTTTTCGGAACTTTCACGCTGCCGAGGAGAACGAAAACAACGGAAACTGAAATCCTGGTGCGCGCGTGCGTGCCTGGTATGTGTGTGCTTTGAGGGTCCGCGATTTGGTGATCGTCGACGGAGTAATAAGGGGCAGCGTAATGAAATTTTAGAAAAGCGATGGCCTCTCGAGGGGAGGGGGGATAGAACAAACTTGTCGCGATTACGAGGGTCTTAAGTCCAGGTTTGAGGTTTCTCGCTGCAGGGCGTAATGATAGTCGTTGTTCGTAATGAACGACTATTTGGGCCTCCGAGTTGGTTTTCCGACGCATTTTGCGGTGGAAGAGAAAACAAGTTGACGGGCCTAAGAAGGGACGCGGAAGTGGTTTCTTTTTTCTTGGCTTTTAGCTTGTTCGATGCAGGGGCTATGAAAAAGAACTCTCGTGTCGCGTTTAATTTATACTCGTGTGAAGCACCTTATCTTACGGTGTGTGTCCGAAGCGTGTCGATTTTCACGTCTAAAAAAAAGTCTTTGGCGACACCGTTTTTTTATTTTTAATAATGCGTTAGCATTAGAACGTTTGTTTTGACGAAAACCAGGCGGTGTCTTTCGTCAATCAGCGCCGGGGAGAAAGGAAAAAGGAGGGGGAGAGGGTGGCGCGTGCGACGCTCTTGTTGGTCCGAAGCGCTGACGTCATCACGCGTCGACCTCCCCCTTTCTCCCCGGCGCTGACGAACTGACAGACACCGCCGGGTTTTCGTCAAAACGAGCCCTTTCGTTTTCGTCAAAGTTACGCGCGCAGCTGGCGCGGAGCAAGAGAGGAGACTGCGGAGCGGTGGAATCCGGGCGTGCTCAGTTACCGCTCTGCCGTCGCCGGTTGTTCTTTGTTCTGGGTTTCCGTCGTAGCGATGCGTGGGCTGTGATATGTGTGTGTAGTTAAAACGGTGGATTCGGTTACTTCCACGAGTGATATGGATGTGTTTCTTTCCATGAGTGATATGGGTGACCTTATCCGAGGGCGTCGACGTACTCTTACAGCAAAGTACAGAAAAGGGGGCGAAAGAAAAATTACGGGAAGGTTCATTGGTGGATTGTTAGGCCCGCTTCAGACGGTGCAATTTCGCCCAGCAACTTGACGTCGCAACACCAGCAACCCGCGGTCACACTCAGCAACCGAATTGCTACGACTTGCCATCATCATCATTCAATTTTATATTTCTTGCACTATTTAGACGCACAGCTAAGTGCTAAAAACGTGTTTTTATATATATGAATGGCGTTGGAGAATACTAACTCGTCTTTTTGAAAAAGTTTATTTCCAAAAACGATCCATTTCAGACCAGAACCAAGTCTTTAGCTGTCATCATCACCACCACAGGGGTGTCACGTGAAAATATCGCGTCCCCGATTGGCTGCTGCCGCTTCAAACGTCTCCGAGTTGTTCGAGTTGCTCGTCCGTTTGGAGCCGGACCCGATCTCAGCAATTCGTGTCAATCTAGGGAAAGCTATAGGGAACAACCCGCCAGCAACCCCGAAATTGCTGGTAAAGTTGCCCCGTCTGAAGCAGGCCTTAGGGAATGCCTGAGCGTAACCATTGGGAAACGCCACACACGTTCTTCTTTGGGAGTTGCTAACGCTGACCCCGTAACAAGGCCAAAAAGAGGAAGCAAAAGATAGAGGCAGCAAAGGAGAAAGCCAAACCAGAAGAGTGAAATGATCAGCGTTAGCGATTCCCAAAGAAGGACGCGTGTGACGTTTCTTAAGGGTCATGCTAACGCAGTCCCTAAGAATCCACGAATGGATCTTCGTGCATTTTTAATATAAATTAAATTAGTAGATGAATCGAATATGCGCCGTCATGGACACGACTCATCCACGTTGTTTTCTAATCTCTGGCAAACACCTCGCAGCATCTTAGGTGGGTCCGTAATATTGCGTATATTTTAATATTACGCGTCACACACTCAATAAACTTGAGAAAAGAATGTCTATCCGGAAACGCGAAGCGAAATCAAGCGAAACCACGGGTATATTTACGGCTTGTTGGAGGGACATTAACCCTGCAACGATGGCGTTTGAAGCTTGATTAAATGTGTCTATTTAGAGCGCTGGTGAGCGAAACTGGAGCGATCATCACGCTGAAAATGCGCGCGCGTCCTCTTCTTTGCTATGAGGAACCCCAATTGCACCACGGTGATGACATGGTTAGGGAGTTACAAACTTTAAGTCCTTTGTCCAACGCTCGCTATTATGCTATTACACCAATTGGCACGATCAACAGAGGCAGTTTAGTGGATCACAAAGTTCAAACGCTGCTAACGCGGAAAGGTGATGCGTGCAGAGACACTGTGCGTGACCTTTCATGTGCTCTGTCTGCCGCAGTAACCAGTAACTTTGGGTGAAGACTTCTTCTTTGTTCTTATTTAGTCTCGCTATTTGCTGAACATGCACATTAGACTGCAGCCGCTTCAGACTAGGTTTGCGCGCAGATTTATCCGACTTGCTTTTATTTTTCATTTTATAGACGCTTTTAGGAAGTTGCGTATTTACCTTTCCAATGTGGATTTCGGTTTGAGATCAACTGCGATATTCGTGTTTTTCGGAGTGCTGATCGAGGTCGGTGAGCCCCGTTGAGCGCGCTCCATGCCGATCACTGGTGCACTGCGGAGGAGCGAAACCCGCTTTTGCGGATGCTGCTTCTCCGCAGTGCACCGGCGCTGGGTAAGAAGCGCGCTCAACGGGGTTAACCCACCGCGATTAACACTTCGAAAAGTACGAATATTGCAGTCGCGTGCTTGGGAGGAAAGCACACTTTCAAAGCGGGATGCTGCGCGCGCCCGCTTGGTGTATTTAAAAAAGAAACGTAAACTTTGTTCACGTTGATATCTACTCTACAGTGAAAGCTTCAAAATTAAACTGTGGCTATTATGGAAGAGTACATTTTAGGCAGAGATCTCCTGACAGCATGTGTTCGTTATTCATGAGGTTTTCTTTTTCCTTTACTCAAATTCGACATCTAAAGAATTATATTTGCACGTGGCAAAATTTATAAATACCTTCCATTAGGTATAGCTGAACATCTCTATAGGTTTGATTTTATGCCATCTATTTCGTTCTGATTCTGAGGCCACAATCCCTAAGTATCGCTGGATGAAAATTAACTTAAACTTCTTTTCAGCTTAAGTCCAAACGCAGGCGACGCTAGGAGGTAATATGACCAATGAAGCAGCGTCAGAAGCGCAAGTCACTATAGACCTTTTTTGTTTCTGATTGGTTCAGTGATGATATCAATACGAACAGAAGCATCGTGAACACCATGATGATGCCCTTTTGACGCTGTTCGACTAGTTCCATCAGCTTGTAGCGTCGGCTGCGTCTGGACTTAAGCTAAAACGAAGTATACCTAAAGGGGGAACTGAATCTTGGAAACAACCTTCCTAAGTTCAGCAGGATTTTCGTTTAAGTATGGTGCAGTATAGTTAAAGGCTTGGGGAAACTATTTGATATTCGACACGAAATATTCGGCCAAAATCACTCTTCGCTTTCAATTCGCTTCGAACTCAAAATTCACTATTCGCATATGACTACCCGGATGTTTATTTGCAGGGGAGTGTTCCTGGGGGGGGGGGGGGGGGGGGGGGGCGCATGCTCCGAACGCGTTCTAAGCCCAGCAAGCAAAGATGGCAGCTCGCAGAAGGGTTCTGTTTGAACGGTTTAAACGCAACCATAAGTGGCGTTGACTTTTTTTTTCTTTTTTTTTTTTTATACTTCACTTCGTTGTTATGGTTACACCCGCGGATCTAACTTCTAGACACCGGGGTACCCTCGCCACAAACGCTGCCTTTGTGCGGATTCGTCATTTCCCGTTTCAGACAAGGAAATACGAGACTGACGCGGCTCTAACTTGAAGCATGTTGTAATCGGCGTCGATAATCCAGGTGTAACTAGGGCAGTTCAACACCACCTGTTCGCCACGTTCTTGCCTCCCCAACTATTATTCGTCGACGCTGCCATAAACGTGATCTGCAGTGGCGTACTATATAAACTAGTGTGCCGCGTTCTTTTTTTTTATTTTGTCTTTTTTTTTTGTACTATGCAATTTAGACGTACCCTGCATAGCGTGTTAAGCCTCGTACCTCTTATAGCAATGTAACAAACTTATAGTTACGAAGAAGGAAGAAGCAAAAAAGCGAAACGGAGCCTGGCGTGCTTACCCGGCCCCTCTCCTCGTCGTATTCCAGACAGCCGACGCCGTCCAGACGATCCAGGTCGATCCATCCTCGGTACCGGACACACACGCCATTCATGATGAAGCTAGATTTGATGTGGACCTGCCGAAAGAAACAAGACCTGAGCTCAGGAAACGGTCGCCCGCACGCAAAATGGCGGCGGAGCACGCGCACTCAAGCCGAATCCGCGTGCATTCGCCTATGCCGCAGCCAATGATTCCGTGTCCACGTATAGCCTTAGATCGAGTGAACAACACAACACAGTCGCCGCTAGGAAGACGCGTCGGTGAGGGGCTCGCCCTGCCCCGTGCTCGGGGGGGTCCGAGCTGCGAAAGCGGGTTTCGGGCGCGTTTGCATCGTCGCGGGAGGAGTTCGAGGGAGGAGATGCGTCGCTCGCTGTGCCTGGAGGGCAAGCCAACGGATCACCCCCCCTCCCCCCATAAATCAATCCCGCTGCCGTCGAGCCGTAGGCCGATGCCTTTCTCCGGAATACGGGCTCGTCGGAAATTAGAACTGGCCCTCGCCGGACACTCCCAAGGGGAGCCCGCGGACACTGGGGCCCAGGAGAAAGGCGGCCGGAGTCTCTTGATGAATGATTCGCGCCCGCTTCACCTCCTTCGCCGGCGGCGGCGGCGCACACGCATGCAACGGCGACTGCGCGCAGCGCTGCGAGCAGGCGCCAATTTGCCTGGCTCCTTCGGAAGAACACCGCGAACAACGCCCGAAAAAAAAAAAAAAACACAACAAAAAAAAAAAACAAGTGGAGTAAAAAAGAAAAAAAAAAGCGTCCAGCGTGTGTGAGCGCTGGCCAGCCGCTTCTTTCACCGGAAATGGTGGTGCGCGTTGTCGGGCTTTCATCCCGATCTTGTTGCTGCTGTTTTTGCGCGTGTGCGTGCGGGAGACGGTCCGCGCTCGCGGCAAAGTGTGGCGGCTAACAGTGTGTGTATACGCACACGCACGGTGTCGGAGACGGAGCTGCCGTTCGAGCGCCGTGTGTGTGTGTGTGCGCGACTGTGATTAAGCCGACGGGATTGTGCGACGGGGGTGGAGGTGGGCGTGCGCGGGCACCCAGGCACCCCTCTGCTCTCGCTTCTTCAACGAGCCATTTCCGCAGTTTGATGCTCGGCAATCTTCCGTCGCCGTCCCACGCGATGTTTCTCCCGCCAGGTACCTGTTGCTTCCTCTTCTTTTTTTTTTCTTTTTTTTTTCTTTCGCGCTCGTATTTTTTCTCTGTCTACGTATTGGCGCTTCGACTGAAAACGGTAGCAAGGCCGAAGGAACGACTTTCAGAGAGAACAATCGGGGGCTATACGAAAACATCTCGCGTCCTTTTTTGTTCCCCCCTAGGCGACGTCTAAGCGTCAGAGTTGGGAGTTTGTTGAGCCTAAACTTCGCCTGATGTTTCCCGCGTTCATTCTGAGTATGTTTCGAGAAAAGGGTGTCGTTTCTGGCTGTTGTTTGGTGCCTGTATATACGGTAGTAAAAGATACTTCCCGCTCGTCCTTAAATACCCCTTGCGCTCTTTTGTGTGTTCATACGTACTAAAGACACATTGCATACAAAGCGTACAGTGATGTTTGCATGAGGATCCAGGGCGCATATATTGCGATCTCCATAGGGTGCTTCCATTAAGAAAATTGTATAGTTTGGTATCTCTCAGGTTGCATACAACATGCTATATCCAATATGCTGAAACAAGGGCTCTTGAAAAAATAGATTGTAACATTTATAAGAGAGCGCACACCTCGTTGAAATAATAAACAAAAATCCTTTATTTTTATCTCTATTTCTCTACAAGTGTTTGAACACCATGTCGAAGAATACACCTGCAGCATTTCTAATTAATTTACCTTGCTCCCTGCATTCGAGAAAAATGTTTTCTCCGATTTCTACCGTTGCTACAAAGAGGGTGGTCGGATCGAAGCCGGGCACAAAACGTAAGGCATATTTTTCCAAAACATAAATATCTTTTAGGGTGGGGCAGTTGGTTAAAATATGTAAAAAACCAAGCGGATATCACTCGAATTGAGGAGCATAAAAAAATAGTTCCACTCCCTTGTTTTGAACGAACCACGGGCTGGTATTTATCGCAAAGAAATCATAAATATGCTCTTAACAAAATCGAATATCATAATAATGTGCAACAATTACACTGTTTTTCTTTCTTTTTTTTTTTCTTCAATGACAGCATGGCAGAGCAAAGTGCACAGAAATTCTGTACGATTTTCCTCAAATGTTTTCCGGCCTTAACGCTTAGAAAACTCCTCCCCTTCCCTGAAATAAATGCGGACATGAAAAGCACAAGAAAACCCCCTGTCACTTTCTTTTCTCAAACGCTCCTGGTTGTATGTAGGCGTATGTTCTAGGCATTAGTTGAATATGACATTTAATTTTATTGAAATTATTTCACAGTGTTCGCATCGAAACTACGGAGTCGCGTTGGAGATTCTGTCGTGAGAATTGAGCGCAGGGTTACGGGGTTCATACAGAAGACTTATGGTTTATGCCTGCAAATGGTACAATCCCAAAACTTGAACGCCACAACAGTAATTATAATGATATGTGATGCGTTGTTTCGGTTATTAGGGACGAAGCTCCTTAAGGGCTATACTCCGTTTCACCTTATGTTGTACCGCAGCGAAGGCTGGAAGCGCGAGCTCATAGCGTTGACAGCTGCCCTTACTGCACGAGAGCTTGTGCCGCCGAGATCTGCCCCAGAGCAAGGAGCTCGCGCTTACAGCCTTTCCTGCGGTACAACATAAGGTGAAACAGAGTATAGCCATGTCCGTATGTCCGTCCGATGTCCGGCGTCGGGTGCTCGTACTCACGAGCACGTGAGCACGTGCTCCCGTGCTCGTGTAGGAAAAAAAAAAAACCCGCATCTCCACGTGGTGAATGATGTTGATTGGGGCGAAGCTCTGGTGGTGCTTGTCTGCGTAGACGGTGAGCCGCAGCATGCCGAGCCTTTCGTTCGTTTTCATCCATGTCAGAAAGAGAATGTGTGGTATGGAACGTAGTTATATACGCATTTGAGCATTTGACCGCAGCGTGACATGGATGAAAACGAACGAAAGACTCGGCATGCTGCGGCTCAGCGTCTGCGAAGACAAGCGCCACCAGAGCTTCGCAACAATCAACATCATTCACCACGTGGAGATGCGGTTGCTTTTTTGTCGATCGAAATACCGAAGGTATGAAGCGACAATTAAAACATGAAAGTTCATTGAATCGCGTATCGTAGTGCCGAGGAGCGAAAAGCTTTTGGGAGCGTGACGGGGCTACAATTGATACTGACCAAAAACAAAACACCAGAATAATGCTCCGGTTTTTAAGACGAATAAGCGAATCATTACTATACCTGTCGGAACAATGGGGCGAGTATTTCAGGTCCACAATTAAGGTATTCGCATATATGGAATAACTGCAACTTTGTCAGCCTAGTCTTTCCAGCAACGTCCCTCTTTCCCACCAAGTCGGCTGAGGTGGAATATTCCTCGCGTTCGTTTTCGTTTCCCGATCGCGTCGTCTCCAAAACGGAGTAAAAACCCAAACCGACTGAAAGGTGGTTTCGGAGCGCGTCTTTTGAGACGCTCCTCCGCCCGAGAGAGCAAAACAAAGAGAAGATCGCGCGGTGTGCGGGTTCTTAGCGACGCCATGACGACGTCGTGCAGACGATCGATATGTGGGCGGCCATGTTTTTTTGCATCGATCGCGTCTCCTCTCCCTCGCCGTGCTCGGCGGCAAGGCCCGAGCCCTCCCCTGAAACGTGGAGCGTCTCATTGGACCATCGACGCGATGCGGGGAACCCGGCCGGGCCAAATCCCATTGGACTAACTCGCCACGCGGGGAGGACCGCCGCCAGCCCCGAACAACACAAAGTAACAAACGACCCCGTTGCTCGAGATATCGGGCGCAGCGTGACTAATCCATTGAATCGCGCTCCGGCGTCTCTCCTCCCATCGGCAGAGCGCGCTCGCTGCGATGGCTCACCCACGGCCGGCTCTCCCACTTCGGTAGCGCGCGAGGCGGGCCGACACGCCGCCATGGGAATTGACGCTTTAGCCTCTTGCTCTTTTTTTTTTTTTTCTTTCACACCCCGAGAAAGAAGGGGGGGCACCTCGCGCAGGCCCAATGTCCCCAGAACAAAGGGATCGCGCAGCTTGGCCTCGCAACAGCCACTGGGAGTGGATTTCTATGCGTTTCCTCGTGATTCTCCGCACTCCCCGGTGACGGGACACGGCCGTCGGCATTGTGGCCCCGGGTTGCTCAGAGGGGCGGTCAATCATCGGCCCCCGGCCGTGGCGCGACGGCCTCACGCTAGATCCCCAGGAAGTGGCCGGGAAACAGGCGAGGCGACGCAACTGGTTGGCGGCCTTCTACCTTCTGTCACCCAAGAATCGCCCGCGCGGTTCGGCTCCGCCGCTTTCATGCGTTTTCGGCTCCCGTCGCAGCCGGGCCCACTGGCCCCGCGTACCCCGACTAGACAGCACAGACAAGACGAACGCACGCTCCGTGTTCGTGTCTTACTGTTTGGGTTCTTCGGCAGTTCTTCGGCAGTTTAGGGGAGAATTTATTTCTCAACAACGGAATCAGTAACAATGACAGGCAGTTGGAAGCTCATTCAGGCTGTTTCCTGGTCGATTACCTATTTTGTTTCAGCTGAATGATTCAACGGTCTACAAGACGCCGTCTGCGATCTCGGTATGGAAATCACTTCTGAATACAGCAAGGTTGGGCAGTCTCGTAATGTTCGACGAATTTCTCCACTCTCTTTAGCGGCGTCCAGTTAACGGTTGCGGTGACGCTCTGCTTGAGAAGCTACCGAATGGTTCCTTTGAAGGGGCTGCAGTCAACTGTTGTCGCACCGGCCCTAACACCCCATGCACAGGAAAATTGGGGCTGCGTGCAGCGCGTCATCACAAGGTTCATAGCAAGCATAACATTGCGATGTTCCCAATATATGTGAAACTCGTCTTGGTCATTTGACATTTTGCTATATATACAGTGCAAAGGGACTTAGGCGTCACTCATGTGTTTATGTTTATTTGTTTCAGATATTTTTTTTTTCTTTTAGATTAATCTGCGTGTCAGCTGACGGGGAT